CATTTAAGTGATGATTTGATATTAATTGATAATTGTGTATGTTTATTAAAATTAATTTTTCAAAAAGGACCAGGGGGCGTGTTGATTCCAGAAAAGAACAGGTGTTTTTTTAAAAAAAATAATAATTAAAAGCTTAAATTTGTGACTTCTGTTGGATTAATTTCTTTAGGTCTAACAGTATATAAGGAGCTGTGGTGGCTCAAGTGGTTAAGACACTGAACTATAGGCTGTGGAAGGTCAGTAGTTCAGCAGTTCGAGACCCGGGTGCCGCATGATGGAGTGAGCTCCCATCTCTAGTTCCAGCTCCTGCCAACCTAGCAGTTCGAAAGCAAGAAATTGCAAGTAGATAAATAGGTACCACTTCGGTGGGAAGGTAACAGCGTTCCGTGCGCCTTGGTGTTTAGTCATACCGGCCACATGACCATGGAAACGTCTTCGGACAGCGCTGGCTCTTCGGCTTTGAAACGGAGATGAGCACCGCAACCCTAAAGTCGGACTTGACTGGCTTTCGAGCAAGGGAACCTTTACCTTTACTAACAGCATATAAAGCCTTTGAACAGGACAGTTGTTCTTTGCCACCCAAAATAGTTGAAGTAGCTGATTTTCAGCTACCTTTAGGTGGGTCGCCATGTTGGTCTGAAGCAGCAGAACAAAGTCTACGTCCGGGGGCACCTTTAAGACCGAGACAGTTCCATTCTGGGTAGAAGCTTAAGTGTGCATGCCCACGGAAGCTCATACCCAAAATAAAACTTTGTTGGTCTTAAAGGTGCCCCCGGACCCCGACTTTGTTCTAGGAGCTACCTTATTTACTTCTGTAATGCTAAGCAGACTGCACTTGTGTATAAAGAGGATCTTGAGAGGAGGAGATAGGAAGAGAGAGAAAAGGAAAAGTGACTGGAACAGAAAGTGGGAAGGGTTTTCAAAATTAGATACCTACAATTTGTTTTTAAGGAGAGAATATGAAATACGGCAACCATGAAGAATAATTCTCCATTGTTCAAAGCACGATACATATCCAAGGCAGCACATTTCCAGACTCTAGTATAGCCACCGGAGAGCCAGTGTGGCGCAGTAGTTAAGAGTGTTGGACTAGGATCTGGGAGACCTGTGTTCAAATCCTCACTCTGCCATGGAAACTCGCCGGGCAACCTTGAGCCAGCTGTGAAGATAAAATTGAGGAGGGCGGAATGCTGTTGTAAGCTGCTTTGGGTCTCCATTGAGAGGAAAAGCAGGGTATAACCATCTCAATAAATAAATAACAGGGTGAGAGGAAGAGACAAGCCCAAAGCTACCCAGTGAATTTCATGGCAGAACAGGAATTTGAACTCAAGTCTCCTGACTCAACACTGCAACCACTATACCGCACAGTCTTTCCAGAGAGTTGGTGTCCTCAAATGGCTTAAAGACTATGAACTATCTGAAGGTGTATGACTTGAAAGAAGTATTAAACAGGCAATATGATTGCTATATTTTGGTTAGGGATCATAGCTGAATGGTATAGCACCTGCTCTGTTTGAAGAAAGGTCCCCGGTTCAATCCTTGGCCTCTCCAGGCTGTAGGTGATGGGAAAGACCTCCACCTGAGACCCTGGAGAGACACACCCAGTTTGAATAAATACTGACCTTGATGGACCAATAGTCTGATTCAGTATAAGGCACCTTCCTCTGTTCATCCAGGAAACCCCTTCAGCCCTGAACTCATTGAGGGGCTTTTTACACCCAGCCACCACATCTGGCCTTCAGCCCTCACTGGCAATGTAGGAAGAGCTTTTGGAAGGATTATTGAGATGATTTTTGGAAAGGGCTCTGAATCCTCTAAAGCCCAGTCTAGATGCTAAATATCATGATTAAATAGGGACATTTTAGCCACACAGAAGGCAACAGGAGATAGCCCAATCTCATCAGATTTCAGAAGCTAAGTAGGGTCAGTACCAGTGTTCCCTGTAAACTGAGTTAGTGTGACCTAAAGGTAAAGGTAAATGTTCCCTTGCTCAAAAGCTAGTCGAATCCAACTCTAGGGTTGCGTTGCTCATCTCCGTTTCAAAGCCGAAGAGCCAGCGCTGTCCGAAGACGTTTCCGTGGTCATGTGGCCGGCATGACTAAACACCAAGGCGCATGGAATGCTTTGCAATTTCTTGCTTTCGAACTGCTAGGTTGGCAGGAGCTGGAACTAGAGACGGGAGCTCACTCCATCATGCGGCACCCGGGTCTCGAACTGCTGAACTACTGACCTTCCACAGCCTGCAGTTCAGCGTCTTAACCACTTGAGCCACCACAGCTCCTTTAGTGTGACCTAGCTCACAGTTTTTTAGCTTCCGGCTCACACATTTTTGTCATTGCTCAGGAAGGATGGCTCCAGTGCAAACCAATTTATGCAGCAGCCAAATCACCTGCTCACAACTTTAATGCCAGTCGCTCACAAAGTGGAATTTGTGCTCTCACGAGACTCCATAGCTTAGAGGGAGCATTGGTCAGTACTTGGAAGGGAGACCCCCAAGGAAGATTCTGCAGAGGAAGGCAATGGCCAACCACCTCTGCTTCTCACTTGCCTTGAAAGCCCCTTGCTGGGGTCTGCATAAGACTTGAGGGCACTCTACACACCCATATTTTACCCACATCCAATTTTAGAGACTTGATTTAAGCATCATCTCTCTAAAGGGTCCTGTTCCCACCCCCCACTTTATCCCAGCAAGGGCCTGGGAAGGGACTCTTTGTTTTCATCCAAAAGTTCAGCTAAGTCCTCGCCATCCTGGTTCCATAGAGGGAAACAGGTAAAGCAATTCCTTGGCCGGCCCAATGGTTTTAGTTTGTTTTAACCGATGACATTATAAAAAAATGAATGTCAATGCATAGTCAATATACACAATTAACACAGTCGAAATAACAGAGCTGGTGAGAAGGGTACACCAGGATTTTCTGATTGTATTAACTTCAGCAATCGTTCAAGAAAAACTTGAATAGCAATCGTGACATAAATATCAGTATTACCTCCCCAGCAGTGCCAACCTGTTGGAAGTCTTGATCAAATTCCATTTACGTTATTGTTCTCATGCGTAAGATAAACAGCATGTCCCAACTTTAGCAGTTTTAGCATCCAAATTTTAGACAGCTGCTTGTAATAGCGGGGTCTGGGGATATCCACGTCCATTGTTATGCCACCAGGAACCGAGCTGAAAGCTCTGGATTAAAAATTAACTCTCTTTGGGGATCTGCTACCCTGCCTTTCCAGATATCCCATTCTGAATGACAATGGGGCCCAAGGGAAGAGTAACTCCTTTATACATTTTTTAAATAATCTCAGTTAACCTCAGACCGGGTTCCTGTATTTTGAGATGAGCAGTGTGGCATTTGTAACAACGCTTCTCCTGACGCAGCATTCTCTCTCTGTTTTGGAATGACTGCCCCCAGCTAGTCTTTGAAAAACTGGGGCCCTTGTGGTGTGGAAAAACCCAGATTGGGTGGTCTGTGACTGGGGGAAGGTTAACTGATTTGGGAAGGTGAAAGGGGATGTACTAAAAGTTTGGATGATCTTCAGATCCCTTTGTTGCCCTAGCATTTGATTATTCCACCACGTTCTAAGCTGCCTGACAAAGAGTTCTGTTTGCTGCAAAAGCTTACACAGCAGCGGTCATACAAAGATACACGCGATAATGTTTAGGACCTTCACATTATTTCCAAACCTGACACAGCTCTGAGCACCAGTTCTGTGTATTGTCAGTTGCATCCGAATTTAGATCACATAGGCAGATGGCGAACCATACACTGATGATTAGATGACTCGTCCTATGGATTGCATTAGATCAAGATGTTAGTCCGTCTGTAGCAGTAGAAAAAAGCAAGAGTCCAGTAGCCTCTTAGAGAGAGACAGACTAACCAAATTTGGGGTAGGGTAGGACCTTTCGTGTGTGACTAGTGAGCAGTGACTCACGAATCCTCATCACCCTGCCCCAAATTTTGTTCCTGCTCCTGGGTTCTTGCTCTTTTCTACGGCTATAGATTGTATGGCATTACGCAGCTTAATCCGCCTCGAGTCTCCGCGACAAGGCGGGCGATAAGTATAAATACAAGACTGCCACTTTCTGCCCCCGCCCCCAGCCTCCTCCTCTGCTTTTCACAGTTGCGTGCAGAAAAACCAAGGGGGGACTCTCTTGCCCCATCATCCACCCGGACCTTCGCGCCTGGAAAACTTCTCCTGATCGAAGTTCAACCTGGCGAAAGGCTCCAACCGCCTCCCCCAACCCCCCGGCGGGGTTTCCTACTTTTATTCCGAGGATCGTCTCCTTACCTGCAAGAAGGAATAAAAAATAGCCTCCGAGTTCTGCACGGCCAGGGCTGCCATAAGGTGGGAGCGTCGCCGAAAACTATCCCAGAAGAGGGATCATGACCCCCACCGGCCCGCGCCGCCCCACATACACGGACGGGTCTCCCCTCGAGCCGGCAAAACGCGAGGCTCTCTCTTCCTCTCTGCTGGATGAAAGTCCTTCTGATCCCTCACCCACCCCCCCGCCAATCTACATCTCCCCCCCCCTTTCCCGTGATCATATTCTCCCCTCCACACACTTCTCTCCCCCCCGCCCTTTTCGGTTTTTGTTTTTTGGCATCCCTTCAGCCAATCAGGAGTGGCGATTGGGGCCGCCTTTGAAGTCGTCCGAGGGAACCAATCATTAAAATAGATTGAATGATTTCAAAGAGGGGCCTGGCTAGATCTCCTTTAAGTGCCGGGCTCCCCCGCTGGGGTGCTTGTTATGGATGCAAGGGCGGGGGCGTTGATTGGGCTTGTAGGACCGAGATAGCGAGGGGCTTCTCTTTTTATCTCTTTAAAGGTACCTTGCAAAGGGGGGTGGGGGGTCAGGAGGCAGGAACGTGATTTCTAAATGCAGCCAATTTGGCGTATGTGTGTGTGGCGGGGTAGTGTCCCCTACAACTCCTAACAGGTGGGAGTCAAATACAAATACAATACCTTTATTGTCATAAAGGTGGGAGTCTGCTTTCATGCCTTCATCCATGTAGAAATGAACGCATCGGAACTACACAAGGTTCCTGCCTCTGCCCTTCACGCATCCAAAGACCCTTTTGGCAGGAAGCATTCATGCCTGCAACCAATGTTCCCTCTAAGCAGTGGAGTCTTGTGAGCAAAAATTCTACTTTGTGAGCTACTGGCATTAAAGTTGTGAGGGAGTGGTTTGGTTACTGCATAAATTAGTTTGCTCTGGACACATCCTTCCTGAGCGAAGACAAAAATGTGTGAGACAGAGACTAAAAAACCGTGAGCAAGCTCACACTAACTCAACTTAGAGGGAAACTGCCTGCAACTAAACTCGCTAGCCCTTGGCACACATCCACAGAACACCATTTCATGTTTGCTGTACCCACCTAGACTGTGTATGTGCACATGTTGGATCATTTCCATATCCTATGTGAGTGGTTTTTCAATGCACACACCAGTACAAGCTATATAGGGACCCTTGATTTGCTGGGGGTTGGTTCCAAAACTGGAATGAATATGCCAGGAGGTCCCCAACCTTTTAGAGCCTGCAGGCATCTTTGGAATTCTGGCGTCATGTGGTGGGCGCAGCCACAAAATGGCAGTCAGGAAATGGCTGCTTGTAGGAGGCGGAGCCAGCCACACAGCAAATGCCACACAGCAATGTTTTTAAACATCTGCACAGACAATCAAATCTCCAATAGCCAGTCAGAAGCCTTGCTGGACAGAAACCCCATCCGGCCATGCCCACCTGCTAAAAACACTTGGTGGGCATCAATGAAGGTGTCAACAGGCACCATGGTGCCCAGAGGTACCGCATTGGGGAACCCTAGAATGTGCATTTAGATGTTCACACAGAACACACGTGCATACCACATAATGCATGAAATGCTCTGCTTAGGCTCTTGTGTATATAATCCCTATCCCAGGTTATGGATCATGCAGACTAAAAACCTCTCTGCACATGGGTGCATACCTGTACAGGTAATGGTTTCCCTTGCTCAAAAGCTAGTCGAGTCCGACTCTAGGGGGCGGTGCTCATCTCTGTTTCCAAGCCAAAAAGTCAGCGCTGTCCGAAGACGTTTCCGTAGTCATGTGGCCAGCATGACTAGATGCCGGGGCTCACGGAACGCTGTTATCTTCCCACTGAAGTGGTACCTATTTATCTACTTTCAATTACTTGTTTTCAAACTGCTAGGTTGGCAGGAGCTGGGGCCGTCACACGGCACTCGGGTCTCAAACTGCCAAACTACAGACCTTCTGGTCTGCAGCTCAGTGTCTTAACCTCTAAGCCACCACAGCCCCGTACACCCATAGGCTCAGTGCAAATGAATATGTGGAGGTCAGGGGTGGGCCAATGGAAGCATCTCTGATCCTCCCACCATTCACAGAAGAATGTATGAAGAGAGGTGTGAAACTGGCTTTGCGCATGATACCTTTTATATGCATATATCATTGGTTTGTGAATATCTCTGCATTCCCTCCCGTTTTGAAGTTGGAAGTTAGTACCCTGAAAAAGTCTAGAATATACTAATATATGCACATTGAAAGAAGATGCATACAGTAGTAAGAATGTAAGGCAGGGCCGGCTCGAGGTGTTTCTGTGCCCTATGCGAGGCGCAGATGCCAACCTCCCGGTGAGGCCTGGAGACCCTTTTGCTGCTGCCTTCTCCTTCCTCCCCAGGGGGGAGGGGGAGGGTGGGTGAGCTGCGGCGCCGCCTCCTGTGACCCGGCTGGACGTCCTCCTGCTTCTCCTGCTGATGGCAACGGTGAGTCCCCGCTGGCAGCCGCCATGCCGCCTCCGCCTCGTCCCCCCCGAGGGGGGAGGGCGGGTGAGCTGTGGCGCTGCCTCCTGCGCCCTGGCCAGGCGTCCTCCTGCTTCTCCTGCTGGCAGTGGCGGCGGCGAGTCCCCGCTGGCCGCCGCCTCCTCCTCCCCCTGAGGGGGGGAGGGTGGGCGAGCTGCGCCACCGCCTCCTGCACCCCGACCGGGCGTCCTCCTGCTTCTCCTGCTGGCGGCGTCCTCCCTCCCTCCCTCCCCTGCTTCCCTCCCTCCCTCACCGGCGCAGAGGGGGGGGTAGGCGAGCACCTAGTTCGCCTAGCGGGCGAGCCGGCCCTGATGTAAGGTAAACACAATTTAAACACATAGGGGAATGTGTGAAAGGCCTTCTAGTAGATGCCCTATGTGGGTCAAGTAGTAACAGCAAAACTGACAAAAATCCTTTCTAAACGGGTGCTATAACATGGTAACTGAGCATGGTACATGTGTTTCAGCATGATTGGGCTACCTTTTTAAGTGGCCAACATTTTGGTGCCCTGACCTGGATAGACCCAGTGTAGCCTGATTTTGGAAGCTAAGCAGTGTCAGCCCAGGCTAGTATTTGGAAGGGAGACCACCCAAGAATACCAGGGTCATGACACAGAAGTAGGCAATGACATCCACCTCTGAATATCTCTTGCCTTGAAAACCCCATGGTTTCTCCATAAGTCAGCTGTGACTTGATGACAAAAAATATATATTTTTGGTGCCTGAGGCATAAAAATTGAACTAGTACCCTCCTGGTGATGAATGTGTTATTTGTTTGTTTGTTTTTATTTAACAATTTCCTGCCCTTTAATGGTACTCCAATATCTGCCTCCTGTAGCGGGTTACCTCATCCTATGCAATGGTAACACCAGTCCTGGATGGACGCCTTTTGGTGTGATAATGACTCAGCCATACAGGTTGCATGAGTGGTCTCTACCGCATTTCCAATGGCCCATGCCACAATCTGTGGCGAAAATAACCCAATTGACGCCGGTCCTCGGCCATATTGGGAGTAGGCTTGCCATCTGTTCCCTATTTCAAGGAACTGATCTCATTCCTTTCTTTCAGAAAAGCTCATGGGCAATGAGAGATGCATCATAACTGCGGAAAGCAGTTTTGACTATACATTCGAAGGGTGTTCTGAAAAAAACAACAGCACTGTTCTGAGAAACATCGATAGGTCCTCTTCTTAGCATCTCAAAAAGTATTCCTTATTTTGAAGCTCTTGAAGTGACCAAGTCCTTAAAAATGGGAGGGGTCTATATGGTATTTATTTAACATTTCTGCTCCTCATTCTCTGTAGTTAAAGGGGGATGAAAATTGCTGAACAGTGTACCAAAACATCATAAATTCTAACGATATAATTTTTCTCTAACGCAGTAGGGATTTGCAGGTGTTCACCGAGCAGTCCTTATGTTAAGCCTTCTGAGGCCTAAAGCTGTATTAGTTCAATTAAGTGGGCTCATAGGGTTGCCAGCTAGGCTTGCCAAGTCCCCACGGGGGGCGGGGAAAACCCCGCCCCAGAGGCCTGTTCCTCGCCGCCGGCGGATCGGGCCCCAGGGGAACCCCACCTCGACGTGCACGTCACCCGGAAGTGATGCAACCATGCCGGGCACACTGGGGGCGGGGCCACGGTCCCCCCCAAATGACCCCTGCGAAGTGGTACCTATGAAAATTGCTGAACACTGTACCAAAACATCATACATTGTAACTATATAATTTTTGTCTAAGGCAGTAGGGATTTGCCAGTGTCCACCGAGCAGTCCTTATGTTAAGCCTTCTGAGGCCTAAAGCTGTATTGGTTCAATTAAGTGGGCTCATAGGGTTGCCAGCTCCGGGGCTGGGAAACATCTGGAGATCTGGGGGATGGACCCTGAGCAAGGTGCAGTTTGGGGAGGAGAAGAACTTCGATGGGGTACGATGAAGCAGCCATTTTGTCCAGGGGAGCTGATCGTTGTCACTTGGAGGTCAGTTGTAATCCCAGGAGATCTCCAGCCACCACCTGGAGTTTGGCAAGCCTAGCTGTGATACACAAATACTCATACTGTAATGAACGTAGCCGTGTTGGTCTGAAGCAGCAGAACAAAGTGCGTGTGCACGCACTCCAGCCGCCAGCTGGGAGTCCCCCGCTGCGGCTCAAAAAACACTTGGCAACCCTACTGCCAGCTCCAGGGCTGGGAAATATCTGGAGATCTGGAGGATGGACCCTGAGCAAGGTGCAGTTTGGGGAGGAGAAGGACTTTAATGGGGTACAATAAAGCAGCCATTTTGTCCAGGGGAGCTGATCTTTGTCACTTGGAGGTCAGTTGTAATCCCAGGAGATCTCCAGCCACCACCTGGAGTTTGGCAAGCCTAGCTGTGATACACAAATACTCATACTGTAATGAACGTAGCCGTGTTGGTCTGAAGCAGCAGAACAAAGTGTGGGTCTAGTGGCACTGTTAAGACCAACACAGTTTCTTTTCTGGGTATAAGCTTTTGTGTGCATGCACACTTCATCAGATATCAGAAGTGTACATGCACACGAAAGCTTATACCCAGAATAAAACCT